AAATGATGAATGGTATAGGGAAAAGGGGGATTTTGCGGTACGTATTTCTATCTTAAGGATCCAACTTTTTTGGATCTTTTGTTTGTTAGGGTTGTTTGGGGTTGCTAAAATTTTCAGGTTGTTGTCGAGGTAAGGCCTAGAATTTGCCCCTTTATGTCTGGCACTTAGGGTGTTTCGATCTTAATTTTAAAGTTTCCCAAACACCTGCTCTCTACCAAACATAGTATAGTAGGTTTTGTCAGTTTAAAAGTGAAAGTTTGTTGGGTTTGCACCAAGTTAAAATTTTTTTGACACTCCCGTTAAAAATGGGTTGAGGGGGCAAGATTGGGGTGAAAGATAAAATAAGTCAGTCTCAGCAAAAGAAGGGTTTTTGGGGGTTGGGAACTTTTGGGAAATCATTGATTAAAGAGGAAGAGCAGGGTCCAAGGAACTTCCCTGCGAAACTCCGTACAGGGGCCTTTTGACAATACCGTGTCTTTAATGGGACATACTGATACCTGTTAGTAAAGAAAAATTTAAAATATCAAGCACATGGCCTTTTTTCCTAATGGTCAATTTTGGGGGAGTAGGAGCATGGTCACGTCAAAACTTTTCTTAGGTCAATAAAAACCCCTCGGTTTCCCCCTTTTTTTTCCAGTGCTGGTAAAGCAGATCTAGCTTTTAAAAATTGCATCTTTATGTTTTTTAATTTTCCTGAATCCAAATTGGCAGGGGTTGGTATTTTTTTTGCCGTTAAAAAAATAATAACTCCTTGCCGGTTTCTCGAAGATTTGGATAGCAATGGAAGTTTGATTTTGGCCATAGTTTTTTACATCGAGGGCCCCATTTTTAGTATTGGTGTAAACCCTTGTTGTCTTGATAGTTTTGGGAAGGTGCTAGTTTTTTAGTGACTTGTTAAATAATGAAATAGCACGCAAAGGACATGGGCAGCTGCTTGTCAAAAAGGTTTGGGACATAAAACAGATTCCCTAGTTTTTTTTAAAGTGATTTTAAATCTTGGGGCGACTTCGTGGGCTCATTTGGTACAAGTAAAAGGGAATTTGGGAAATTCCCATCTAGGTAGTCCCGGCAGGGGCTTTGGGTATTGGTTTTCTGCAAAATTAATCCTATGGTTGAGAAAAATCGTTTATCTTGTTAGCTGTATCAGTGGGACAGTGGGGGGTTTTTTTGGTTTAGTTAGGACAAAATTTTTTTTTTTTTCATTGTGGGTGCCCAAATCTGGGGGAGTGTTTTCCAGTCCCTTTTTTATATCTTCTCTTTTGTCGGGAATCTGCTGGAGAGTACATTGTTTGGCTTTCTTTATTACTTTGGGGGAATGTTGAAAAATTTTTTAAAAATATTTTGGATTAAAACCCCCTTTCCCCTATTGCTTTTCATATTGGGGTTTCTTATCATGGATTTCAGAATGCTGGGTGGTTAGCCATGGGCAACCAAGCTGTTTATTCCCTATCTGTTTTTGTTTTTTAAAAAATGTTTGTTGTATATCAATATTTTGTTAAAAAAAATTTGTCCAAACGCAATACCATTGGCCTTTGGGGAATTTTGAGGCTAAACAACAGTCTCAAAGGGCAGCTGGAACTTCCCCATTGAGGCCCGTCATGGAGTCAAAAAGAAATTGGTATTCCATGGGGGTTTACTAATGTTTTTTTAAGGAAAGGGTTTATAGGGTCTTTTTGCTTTCTATATTATCCCCGTTTAAAGGGGGCTAGTTGTTGGTCCATATTGGGCTATTATGGTTTCACTTGTCTCAGTTGGATGAGAAGTGTGTTGTTCATATTGTTGATAAAACATTACAAAGGGGATCTCTATAGGCCCAAGGTTGATATTGAAGTCTCCAGCTAAGAGAAGGGGGTGTTGTCAAGTCTTTTGTTTTTTATGCCTTTATTTTTCACTGAAATTTGAGATGTCTGTGTGGGTAACCGTAAAAGGCACCCGATTTTTAAGCGTCTTAAGGTTTTTTACAGTAAATTAATGGGAGTGGGTTTTTGTCACCATCTTTGATATTCCTGTAATGTTACCTTTACACCATTTATAACATTTTTAGTATATTTTTAAATGTTTTATACAGTAGTGTTCTGTATATTGTAATAAACAGATAAGAGGAAATCAGCTCTAATATACATTATTTAGGTATGCATACTGGTCAGAGAGCCCATCATAAGTCCGAGTCATCAGTAAACAAGTACGTCGGTAAGTGAGGAGAGGCTGTAATTTATCCAGGAGAAGTGGTTACTAGCCCCTTGCTCTTAGCATTTTACACTGTTGCCTTTTACAGCACGCATGACTTACAGAGGAAAGATTCTTTTCCACTTCCCCATGGAGTTACTTTGTAATATTGTATTTAATGAGATGCATATTGTTGCAAGAGACTTGATATACGTACCACCTAGAATCGTCATAATCCTGTCGAGCTTTATTTTATATTTTATAACATGTAAACCACACATTGTAAGCTTTGCAAAGAAATAAACATTTTCATTTCATTTCATTTCATATATACAGTACATAAAATGCATGGAAGAATTCCTTAAGAGGCTTTCAGAAACTTTTAAATTTTAATTTTTCAGGGAGTCTTGTTCTCAGTTGGCAATCATCCGTGAGGTGTATGATAGTGACACTGCGCATGAAACTTTTGAATTGGAGTTGGAAAGAGCATTGGAAAAAGGTGTGGCAACCATTGTTATAGAACCAACACCACTAGGAGACGAGACTGCCAGATGGATTGCTGTTGGGAACTGCCTTCACAAGACAGCAGTATTAGCTGGATTTGGCGCTATAACATCAGGTGTGTTTATCAGAAGTGCTTTTTCCATTTTTTAGTTACCATGGTTTCCATGCCATGCATGTCTGATAACATGAGCTATAATTTACAAGAATATTTTGAATCAGTAGGTTTAACTATTGTTTAACAGCAGCACATTCAGGGTTAGCCATAGGAGGTATTAGATATAGACAGCTACCCTGTTCTCCAAGCTTGCACAGGCCTCATGCCTTCCAAAGTCCTCTCAAGTTCAAAGGAATGTTGACCATAGGCCACAGTCAGTATTTCCTGACACCAAGTAATGATCTGACCATGACTTGCCAAGGTGTTAGGAAGTGGGTGGCCATCCCTGATTTTGGGGTCTTTCATGCCTAGACTGATCTGTATCCTTCATAATCTCTGCCAAAAATGACATCTGCAGGTGTTGTCAACATAAAAGTCTAAAGTTAGCTAACCTTGACCTGCATTTTCTGTGACTTTATAATATCATAAAAGCAGTGCTGTTCTGCAGCTCAGTACAAAAAAGTTTTTGGTAATTTGTTGCATTCCCTTTCCCCCTTCCCCCCTTTTTTAAATACACTATAATATAGCCCATACAGTGGGCCCCCCCATTTCCGTTTGGGCCCTTTCATAACGTAAATATCCGCATACCGCTAAAAATTTTATCGCCAAGATTTTTCCTCGCATACGTTAAAAAAACCCGCTCAACGCTGTTCCCTCCGAGATGCGTCTTAAAGGGGCCCCCTTTCCAGCCTCACATGTTCCCCGTGCATTTTACCACCACCCCGCGTAACATCCAAGCTACATCCGAACATTCGTATATTAACGTGTTTTTTGGATTTTATCTGCAAAAAAGTACCATGGCCCCAAGAAAGGGTTCTGTGCAACCCTACAGCAATAAGGGTTAGAATTAATATAGAGATGGGGAAAAAAGAACATTGATAAGTATAAATTGGGTGCGTTCTCGACTGGCCAGGTTGTATTCCCCCAATAAAACCATCGCACTTTTGGTCCTGCTGCTCTCTGTCCACCGACTGCTGCTGCTAATCCTCTGCTGCGCTGAGCTCTCCTGCTGCTGTACACTGTCACTGCTGCCTGTTGTACCACCGTCGCTGCGCTGCTGTTGTACCACCTCAGCTGCGCTGCTTTTTGAGTACCTCGCTGCTGCTGAAAACCCTCTGCTGCTGCGTAGCATTGGGGGTCTCTGCTGCTGTTTAGCTTTCCCGCCCTGCGGGGCTGCTGAGCACTTTCACTGCTCTGCGGGCGAAACCAAACCGGTCAGCTTCTGCGCCTGTAGTACCGCGCTGCTGCTGAAAAAGCATTGTCTGCTCTGCTGTACATTTTCTGCTGCGCTTACATTGTCGCTGCGCGTAGCATCTCTGCGCTGCGTAGCCCTGTCAGCTGCTGCTGTGCTGTACCACCGCGCGCCTTGACGTCTGCTGCTGCGTAGCACTGTCAGTTTGCTGCTGTCTGCTGCTGCCTGTCAACCTTTTTGGGTGTGGCTTTTTGAAATACCAAGAAAAAATTTAACCCCCCGGGGATTTCCCCCCAGAAACCTAAAAAACATTTCCCATCGAAGACTGTCTAACTTATTTCCTTTGGGGGCCCTTAATCCTCCCCAGGATGAAACCCCACCCCATCCTAACACCCAGGTGAACGGGGGAAAAAATGCGGGAAACTAGTGCCATATTGGTAATTTTAAAGCCAGCAAAGGGTTGGGGTTTGAGAGATTAAGAATCGTAGGGGCATACACATGTGAAAGGCCTTTTCTGGAAAAAAATGCCAAACAGGACCTACAACTCAGGGGGAAAGGCACTCCCCAAAACATTCTCATCAGTCATTCTTCATCTTCAATAAAGGAAAGTGCATTTATTCTTTATTTAGTAGAGTAGTACATACTATATAGTTTTCATGTACAAATCTACTATTGTGCAAAGTATCCTTTTCTTTTGTGTAGGAAAATGTATATTTTTATTTGGGAAATTTTTTTTTTTCATACTTTTGGGGTCTTGCACAGATTAATTTTATTTCCATTATTTTTTTATGGGGGAAAATTCATTCCAAAAAAATAATTTCGCATAACAAAGAGCTCTCTTTCACGATTAATACACTATCGGGGGGGCCACTGTACTAGCAGGGATATAACATGTAAAGAAAAATAGCTTGGGAGGAGAAAAGGGGAAAAAAAATGTGGGAAATTTAAAAACCTAAACTGTCCCCCACTTTTTATTTTTTTCTTTTTTTTTTATTATTTTTCTACCTTTAATTTTTGTATTTTACCTTCAATTTAAACAATTATCTCTAATTCTTGTAAACAATTAATAAGACCTTTTGTGCAATTTCAATTGAAGTCTTGTTTCCTTATTTCATTATTAGATTTAAACAATTTTAATCTAGCTCATTTTAGCTCATTACATAGTCAATACCCAAAACACTATACAGACCATAGTGCAATTACTAGTGAGAGACTGGTGCTATTTTAATTTGTATTTTTATATTATAGACTAAACCTATTTGTACTATAGCTCTTTTTAGCTCAATACATAGTCAATACCAAATTCACTTATAATTAGACCATAGTGCAATTACTAGTGGAGACTAGTGCTATTTTTTAATTTGTTTTTTTATATTATTAGATTAAACCATTGTACTTTAGCTCATTCTAGCTCAAACATAGACTCCACAAAAGTCATTATTAGAATTAGTGCAATTACAAGTGAGAGTCTTGTTTTATTTTTAATTTATATTTTTTATTACTAGTTTATACCTATTTTGTATTTTAGTTCATTCCAGCACAACACATAGACAACATCAACTTCATTATGTGTAGAAAGTGACTATACCCTACATGACCAAAATACTCAAAGCTATATATTTGTCCAAATTTCCCTACCACTACAAAATATCAGTACTAGAAACTCAACACACAACTCAGATAAAATAACCATTATTTAAACCTAGAAGATGATTAATCACATTGACCCTGATCTAAACCTCCATAATCTGACACCCAATAAAAAAACCTATTGGAAAGTAACTGCCTTTATTACACAGCATCACAAGCCACCACTATCCTAAACAATGCTAAAAGCTATCAGTACTTAACTACAACATCAGGTCCTTAAGCAAACACTATGATGACCTCCTACCACTCCTTGAATCACTAAAGACACCCTTCTCCTGCATTTTTTCTTACTGAGACCTGGCTTAAGCAGGACACAATAGATATCAAACCCTCTACCAGGATACACAGCAATTCACATCTGTAGACCAAACCAAGTTGGGGTGGTATTGCAATCTAATTACTCTAACCAATTATCTTGTATTAGCACCACTTGCTTTAGTGATGAATATGGGGAATACATTTTTGCTAATTTTACTGTAAAAAACCTTAAGACGCCTATAACAATCGGTGCCATTTACCGGGATACCTCACACACACATCCCAAATTTCAGTGAGAAATTAAAGTCACTAATAACAAACAGACAAATGAATAAGCACCCCCTTTCTCTTAGCTGGAGACTTCAACATAAACCTTGGCTTATTTTAGATGATCTGCCTGTAACTGATTTCATCAACAATATGAACAACACACTTCTCATACCAACAATAACTAAACCAACCAGGCTCACTGAGACAAGTGCAACCATATAGACCACATATGGACCAATTTAAACAGCCCCCCTTAAATCAGGGATAATCACAGATAGCACTACAGACCACTACCTACCTTCCCCTGACAAACATTAGTAAACCACCCACTTGAATACAACAAAGTTCCATTTGGGACTCCATGACGAGGCCTCATAAGGAAGTTCACAGCTGACCTAGAGACTGTTGATTGGCCTACAAAATTTCCCTCCAAGGCCAAGGGTATTGATGACTGGACAGACATTTTTCTTAAAAAATTACTTAGACTATACAACAAACTTTTGCCCTATAAAAACAAAACAGATCACAAACAAACGGCTTGGTTGCCCATGGCTAACCAGCCCCATTCTGAAATCCATTGACAAGAAAAACCAATAGGGAAAAGCAATATGGACAGGGCTTAATACACAAAGATACTCTTAAAACACTATTCATCAGCCCTCACCAAAGTAATAAAGAAAGCCAAACAACTATACTACTCCAGTAGATTCACAGACACAGAGGAGATATAAAAAAGACCGGGAAAACACTCTCTCAGATTCTAGGGACCCACAAACTGAAAAAAAACAAGAATATGTCCAACTAAACCTAATGAAACACCACTACATCCCACTGACACAGCTAACAAGATAAACGACTTCTTCTCAAACATGGGATCTAATCTCGCCGTAAAATCCCACATACCAATGCCCATGCCGGGGAACTACCTAATGGGAATTTCCCTAATTCCTTCTATCTTGCCCCAACTGAGGCCCACGGAAGTCATTGAGATTATAAAGTCACTTAAAAATAACTGGGGGAAATCTGTCCTCATGTCCCACCATTACTGTACAAGCGAGCGGCCCATGTCCTTTCGCATGCTATTTCATTACTTTTAACAAGTCACTAGAGACTAGACCTTCCCGAAACTACTCAAGATGGCAAGGGTTACACCAATACTAAAGGTGGTGACCCTACAGACTTAAACAACTATAGGCCAATATCTGACTTTCCCATTGCTATCCAAAATCTTTGAGAAACTCGTGCACAGGAGACTGTTTTCTTTTATAACGGCTAAAAAGCATACTCAACCCCTGCCAATTTGGATTCAGGAAAATAAAAGCACTAATGATGCAATCATAAAAATGTTAGATCTGCTTTACACAGCATTGGAAAATAAGGAATATCCACTAGGAATTTTTATTGACCTAAGAAAAGCTTTTTACACGGTAGACCACGACATCCTACTCCACAAACTTGATCATTACGGTATAAAGGCCATGCGCTTGCTTATTTCAAATCTTAATTACTAATAGGTATCAGTACGTCACCATTAAAGACACAGCATCAGCCCAAAAACGGCCACTTGATACTGGAGTTCCGCAGGGGAAAT